CTTTAATGCCGTCCAGGAGGAAAACCAAGCATTGCAGGGGCGTATAGAAGAATTAGAAGACGAATTCATGAAACAAAGTAGGTTAACAACTGAAAGCCATGTCGCCGAAATTGCAGACTTTAGAGCTAGGCTTTCTAAGCTGTTGGAAGAAAAAAGCACCGCAAGAAATCAGCTAAGGACTGCTTTGAATGAATCGGCGGGAAAAGACGCAGAACTACAGCGTCTGGGAAAAGAATTGATGGAGTCTGTTGACAGAGAAAGGCAAGTAATGGCAGACAAGGCAGTGGCGGAGGAACGAATACGACAACTTCAACAGGCCGTCGAAGACCTGGAGGAGCAAATAGAGCGGCAGCAAGAAGTAGTTGCAGACCAAAATCGTCCCGAAGAGGAAAGGGAAGCTACTCAAAAGGAAGTAGAAACCCTTCAGGAGCGCCTTGCAGAATTACATGCGCAAAAGGAAAACCTGGAAAGAGAATTGGGGCTTACCACCAAGGAAAAGGTAAAAAGAGCCCTTTTGAAGTATGGTATTCCATTGGCATTCGCGGTCGCTATTTCAAGCGTAGTAGGAGTTATTATGACCGCGCTTAAGGCTACGGGCGCAGGCGTAAAAAAATTAGGCAATGGACTGACGGAATTAGGAAAAAAGATGGCAGCCGGTTTGCCTGGGCTGCTGGGTTCAGTTGTTTCCTTGGCACTTAAGACCGGCGGAGAACTATTGAAGTTCGTGGGGAATAACATTTGGATCTTGGTCGTCGCTATTGGAGTGGTACTCTTAAAGAAAATGAAGGGTTAATCTTATCCTTGTGTATTACTACGGGCTTATCATCGTCGGGAATCCTAGGCGTCCTCAACGGGGGATAAGTAAAGATAGTATTCACACCACCTTGATAATGCGGAACTAGCGGTATGGCGGTCATGGTGCTAATCGGCTTATGGTTCCAAGTAGCATCCGTCGAAGGACCACTTGACGGGGCGGCATTTATCCGAACGCAACCCAGCTTACCGGCATCGACGCCCGACGTTACCTTATCACTGGGACGAATCTGTAACTTCGCATATTGACAATTGGCTATCATATGAAAAGTTACCGGCGTTAAGTCTTCTACGCTTGTTGGCTGGGGTTCAAATGAGAAATGAACTGTGTTCCTATTGTTATCTTTTTTTCTGTAAGGCTGTAATGGTCGATTACTTTCATCAACGATCCTAAACCCAACATTACATGACCACCCCGCTGAAATACTAATAGTACACATAATTAATCCCAGACCTCCAACCTTTACCCACAATTCGGCGTCAAACCATTCATCATTTACGTAGTCCTTCTCCTCCAAGTAATGAAGGAACCAATCTTCCTTTACATGTGGGTTATTCATATATTTAAAGGCTAA